GGGTGAGGATGGCCGGGCTTGAACGGCTTCTCGCGAGGTACCCGCATCCCGACGCAGCAGCGATTTGGCATTCTATATCTTTCGCGGCCTTCGCCAAGCACAGGCGCGGTGGGCGCGCGGGAAATTTCTTTTACTCGCGCCCCCGCCCGCCGAGCCAAAGGAGCTCCGCGGAGCCGCCAGGCGCCCGCCCCGGCGGCTCACTCGTTCCGCTCATTCACCGCCGGGGCGGGCGCCTGGCGGCGCCGCTGCGCAAAAAATCCCTCAGCATGGACGGCTGGTCGTTAAAAGGCCTCATGCGAATGCTCCTACCCGAATACGATAGAGCGTGCGCGAGAGTGGTCCCCGGCTCGCAATGCGGATTCACAGCCGGAAAGAACGCGCCAGCACAGACACTCACCGCGCGACAAAAACAAACCGCGCGCCTGCACGCAGAAGAGTGCATGATGGAGCGAAAGATGTAGAAGCGCCGCCCGCCAGCAGGCAGCTTGCCCGCCGCGCGAGTCGCCACAGCCGGTGTGCGGCCGTGCACTGCCACCTGCCCGCGGCTACGCACAATGTGCGCTCGCATTGGATGAGCCCTGCTGATGGACCTGCGTCGCCGAGCTGCGCAAAGAGCAATGCCGCAGGCGGAGGCCGCGGCGTAGATTGCGAGCACACGCGTTGGAGCTGTGAGGAGCAACGAGAGCAGGGCGTTCCTGCCTCTGATGCCACTCTCGCGGCTTGCAGCGCCACTCGCGCATGCTCTCCAGGAGCTATGGCGGGCGCGTGTGTGGGAGTGTAGCCTGTCTTTGGCCGGTTCCGACTCGTTCACTATCTAAGCCATGCCTGGGCTACAAAAATCGCACACGGGGAGCGGCTCAGGGGCCCAGTAAGCCGCGGAATCGCCAAATGTCACAACCCACCTCAGTCCTCACCCAGGGCTGGACCTAGTCAGATTCTCTAGGACGCTGCAGACCTCCCCAAGCCCAACCCATGCCCCTAACCGGGGTATCGGGTAAGCGCTAAGCCTTAGCGCTTGGGCTAGTGCCATTTCACTCTGACACGCTAATCTTGAAAACGCGTCCAACGGAGCTCCGTGTTGCTTCCAGCGCCCTCCCCCGCGCTCCCTGCGGCCATGGCCGATGCTCCTAGTATGATAGGTCATCTGGCTACCGCGAGAGCGACCCAACTCTTCGACATCGTCCGATGATGGTGCCGCAAAGTCAGCCCTCGGAGGCTATCGTGGGGTCGAGCCGGCAGTAGCCGTGACATGTGGTTCCACCACCCCTCGTAGGCTTTGCCTCTGACCGCCACCGTTCCCAGGCTGCCTAATGGGATGGAAAGGAAGGCTCGGCGAGCGTATAGAAGCGTGCTCGACCTCGTCGTGGCAGCCTGCATGGCAGCGCTGGCGGGCGCGATGAGCGTCGTGCCACCTGACCCGAGATGGATCGCAGGCGTCGTACCGAGCGTGTCGAGCACAGTCGCCTTCGGCGCGCGACAAATGTACCTCCCCAGGACGCGCAGAGGCCAGTTTGATCCCGCCGAGTATTCCTCTCTTTCTATCTCAATCTCTCTCCCTTCCTTTTTACTTTCTTCATTCCT